TGGGACAGTGGGGTAATCCTTATGTAGCTCCCAACAAAGAGCAGTAGAAGTGAAAATACATGCCATGGAGCTTGCCAACACTACCGCAGTGCCTAGGCAGCTCGCATTCGCTATGACACAGCCAGGCTCTAGGCAGACCCCAAAAGGGCTAAGTTGTACCAAATGCCGTCGTTGACTGCCAGAGCAGCTCAGGATGGGAAACACATAAAGCATGTGGCATGCTGGCCAGTTAAACTGGATTCACAGGCTCTCTACACTGTCAAAACAGTGCCAAGCAAGCGAAGAGTAATACTGCTGCTTATACCTCCTTGTGCTCCCTTTCCCTCTTGTACTCGAGATTTCATTTTGCGTGAGGCTTCCTCCCCGTATATACCACAGGGCCCTGTGACCATACACTCCTTTATTTCCCATTGTTTCTCTCCAGCCAATTGCCTATTTTCTTCATAATGGAAGATATTCGGTGCAATGAGTCATTTAATGTGAAGAAATACTTAGCAGATAAAAAATTGCTTTTGTGAAGGTTTTTTTTTAGAAAACAATTCCATGAAACTTGCTTAGAATTCTGAACTTTCAAAATTTGCTCCAATTTGCAATTCGACCATAAGTACTTCTGCTTTTCATGAATAAGGCTAAAAATGGCTGCTACCATCATCCAGGAAAAGACAAAAAAATGATGGAGGTTTGTGTGGAAAATTGTTTCTGAACGTCCTTGTTCTTAGTGCCCACAATTCATGAGCTCATCTTTGATTCTTCAGGCTCTTCAGCCATGGAAAGCTGCACTTTGAGTACATGCAAAACCGCACCATATAAGAACCTACCAACATCTAAACTGTACTTAGGCAGGAAAAAGCTGCTTTGGGATCCTAGGTACCTGGAGGAGTCCACTGTGGTCTACAAGCTTTTGGAAAAACAAGTATGCCAAAAAGAATGGGATCTTCACAAAAGATAACTGTAACAATCATGTTAAACATCCCTGAAGAAAAAGAAATTCCCACATCTTACACGTAATGAAACTAGTTGAGCAGAAGTTTTTGCCAAGGATTTGTGAGACTAAAATTTTGTTTCTTCCCAAGCTTGACTGTTTTCAAATCTCTGACTGCTCTGGAGTTTCCCAGTCTAAATTAAAATCAGGGTCTCTTCCCTGACTTAGACTTCTGTGCTTCTCTGTACAATGGCATGGCTTCAGTAAGGAGTAACGCGTGGAGATTTTCCCAACTAGAGGTCTGTAGAAATGAGCATCTTGTGGCAACTGGGAGATGGAAGGACTTGTTTGAACCTGTCCGTTAGAGTGAACACGAAACACACACATCCAGCTTCCTAGGTCAGTAAGCTAATTATTGTATGAACCAGAAACAATGCTTTGCTTGCTGGGGACTCAGTACCGACAGCGAGCCCTGCTTAATTCTCTAAAAAAGCCCATAGGCCTCAATCTTCTGGATAGAGCTGTAATCTGGAGTCCAAAGAGACCGAAGCAGCTAAGCCCCCAAAATGTACGTGAAATCCTACCATCCCTTTCCTGAACGTGGCTTACGGCTTAGAAGTAGGTGACTTCCTACATTGTAGGCTGCATTATTCTAAGCTCCTTGGCAAAACACGGAACATCTACCATTTTCCCTGTAAGGCAGCATGGGTCCATTAAGAGTTCTGAATTCCACTCCGGGTGGCCAGACACCTAAAAACAAAGCTCTGATTTGTAGTCTCTAAGTACTTAAACAGCCTGAATCAGATTTAGTAACTTCTGTTGAGTAAGAGAGACTCTGGGACTGTCCTCAGCAAATCTGTTAGACGTGTAGCATATCTTTCATGGGAGAGAAAAACCCCAAATCTCAATTTCAAAATGATCACTGACAAAAAAATCAAGCACACTGTTGGTTAAGTGTTCCAATGGCTAATTATCTTCCATTAAAATTGTTTACTTCAAGTCAGAATTTATCTAGCTTCAATTTCAAGACATTTCATTCCATTATGCTTTTGCTAGATCAAAGAATTCTCCATTATCAAACTACTTTTCTCCACGGAGGTAATTATACCTAGGTACATATTTCATAACCACGTCAGTGTTTAAACTGAATAAATTAAGCTCTTTGAGTATTATAAGGCATGTTCTTGATTCTTGGCACAAGAACTGGATACTGTATTTGGCACTAGTGTAAGCACTACTGGAATAAAAGTAATATAACCTCCCCCATACCATTTAAAATTCCCTTTTTAATGCATCCAAGAATTGCATTTGGCCAAGTGGGAGCTTATGTTCAGCTGACTATCCATCACGTCTCCTAACTTTCTCTCAAAACATTGATTCTTGGGATGGGCTCCCATTCTGTTTCCAGATGTATGACTTTACACTTGGTGATAGTGAAGCAGGCTGTATGAATAGGACATCAACAAAGATTGGAATACCAATTAACTGTAAAGCCTGTAAACCTTAGCATGCCTCAAAACTTTGCGAGTTCTTAAGTGTTTCAGAACAGTCTCCTGTTGCTTCCCCAAATAGCTATTAGGTAAAGCTTCTGGCTTCAGTTCTGGGGCGGGGGGCGGGGGGGGAGAGATGGCCATTCTGCAAGAGGATTAAGAGTTCACAGAAATTTTATTCCAGGACTTGTCAGCCCCCGGCAGTTATGACCAACGGTGAGAAAATAACAGTACATTTACAAAAACCTGAACTTCATCAAGGAAGCTCAATAAAGCATCTCTATTACTTGCTCTTTAGGGATCAACTGATTATTTTCAAAAGCTAAATTTTTATCTCAACTTAAATTACCTTGTAAATGCTCCAAAATGTACTCTTCATGCATTGTATAAATGGATTGTGCCTCAGTTGCAGTGCAAATTCTGACCTTGACTATTAGAGCATGAGCTGTTTCTGCAATTGCATACTATAGGCCATGCCTGAAAAGCAACTAAAACCCTGTAAGTTGTGCCAGTATAAAAGGTGACCAATTCCTCTAATCATGCAGCATTACTAGCTTCAACGCAGCTATATTTTACTGTTTGTGTGCACATCACGTCTAAACATTTTGCAGCTATGTTATCTGAGAGCATCTTCCAGAGGAAGATGAGTAAAATGATTTGCTTGAGCACCGTGACAAGACTGACTTTCTCCTCAATAGTGCTCTAGCATAAGCACTCTTTCAATAGAATTTAGGACACTGAGGCATTCTTAAAAAAAAAGTGAGGTCCTTCAGCACTAACTTCTTGAATTTAACTTTTTCCCCTCTATTTACACCTAAGATATGAAGTCTGCTATCCATTTGTGCTGCCCCACTGTATGCATGCAATGCTTTCTTGGCAAAACATTATTTCAAATTTTTTTGCCGCTAGAAAATGCACATAGGCCAAGGGATAGGGGTATGAGACTATTTTAGCAAAGTAAGGGAAATACTCTGCCAATCTAAAAGGAGGAGGATACTGAATTTTTCAAACTCAGGTTTTTTTTTTTTTTTCCTCTTCAGATACATCCACTGATGTCTGAATTTCATTTCCAATGGGCACAAAGTATTAAGTGAAAAGGATCAAGATAGTACTCTTTAGAGATCAAAACAAGTGAGTTTTCCGGCAGAGGTAATAGTATAAAGTGTTATCATTTGCACAGTACAATTTTTTCCTTTCATTCAGAAATTTTATGAGAAAAAGGTTTTTCTTCGAATTGATAGTGCTTATCACTTTACAAAGATGCTTGACAAATGAAGTACTTCGACGGTTTCACCTCACTCACTTGCAAATCCCTTTTCCAAGCTTGTATCAGTAAGGTCTGATTACTTGCACAAAATATGTGTATGGAATGCTAAATTCTTTTGATTTAGTGCAGCAATTAGCTTAAATGGACACAAATACTATGGTCATGTTTAGACATAAGAATCTTAATTGATTTAGGAGTGCCACAGTCAAAGCTGGATTTATCACTTAATTTTAGGTGTCAGAACCTGCCTGACACATTTGACGCAAGTGTTTTGCCAAAGTCCTAAAACATTAATAAAAGTACTCAGCTATTTTCAGTAAAGTCACTACCTTTAATTTCCCAAGTTTAGTTATTAAAACACTTAACACTAGCATTTGCTGTTAAATGTCATTTTTGTTTTAAGCTAAAGTGTAGAAATAAGATTTTGCCTAAATTGGCAGAAAAAGTACCAAGAACTTTTAAGTGGATATCCTTCATTGATGAAATATGTAAACAAAGCTTGTCTGTAAGTGCTAACAAGCTTCTGTTGTCAGAAAAATGTCTCCAGGCAGGACAGATGCAGCTTGTTGATCTGTTCTACTAAACATCTCAGCAGGCTACGAATCCTTCAGTGAAGTGCTTCCAAGACTAAAAGTTGGTCTGAACGCAAGCCAAGAAGTGTGCATTTTTACCATTCCCTGTGTTTCTAACCTGCACTCTGCTAGACCTGCAGATTAGCAACTGTTGTTCATAACCTCACGAATCCTGTGGTTTCCTCTCTTAAAAATATCTAAAATAAAACACTACAAGCAGATTTTGAAAAGCTCAATAATTGCCTAGTGTGTTTAAGATGACATCTACAGCATTCATCAATTTTATGAAGTGTTTCACACTTCAAATTGTTTTAACAACGGAAGTCATTCAGTGCTTGACCAAATTACTATGATCTGTCAGGATCTTAACACGTTAACAGAATTGATCTACTCTTGACTATTCTTCACATAAAAAAAAAAAAAATTCTACGAAGCTTTCTGGAGCACTACAATTAAATAGGAATCCTGTCCACTCAGCAGCATGCAGTTTAGAGAGCAGAAGTTTGTCATTTACTGTGCTTTTAATCTCAACACAACTAAATACTTGCTTCCACTCAGAAATTAACCCTTGCCTATACACATCTTTCCAGATTCCCCATCCCTCCACGTAAAGGTGAAACAGTATCACCTATATAATATGAAGATAATTTTATAATATGAAGATAATTGTTTAGTTTGAAATAGGTTACTCTAACATTAACTTAGCAACAAACATCACTACATCAAAAGATCACAGCTGAGATGACAGATTGTTTTGTGCAAGATGGTTTTATTAACAGACCAGAATTGGAAAGATTGCAGCTGGGCATCTGAATCTAATAGGGGAAGAAGAAGAAAAAAAAAAAAAAGTATAGTTAGACCTGTAGAGATCTGAAATGACTTTAGCGACCTGTAGAGTTTATACATTTCTACAGTTTAGTGCAGGCAATAAGCATATATACTAAGCACTAATTTTATTTCACTATGCTTGTGACTTCACTAGTCTTGCACGCAAATATCAGCAACTTCAGTACTGACATCTCTTCATTCAAAACACTGATTTTAAGTGACAGAACTAACAGGATAAGCCTATTACCTTAAATAGGAAAAGATACCAATAATTCAACAGCTTAACAGATGAGAACTTGACATTTTCAGATATACCAAGGTACTGTATGTACTGATCTTCTGCCCTATTTTCAGTACTTTCAGTAAGTTTCAGGGACTATTTACACACAAGAATTAGAGCAAAGAGCAAATTTGAGGCATAGCCCTTTAAAGCTCCCTTGAGAATTAGTGAAGTTCAGTACTTTGCCAATACAAAATTGTCAAAAATCAGTATCAATTACCATGCTCTATTCTTTTCCCAAGCTAAATGAAAAACTTAGTACAAGTTCTTTAATATTGATGTATTTGAGACTATCACTTACGTGATCAAAAATAAAGACAAATGGCAGGCAACTACATTTATATATGGGGAAAAAAAATGTTCATTTTCAGGTACTCGACCCTTCAGAAAGGCAGAGTACTTAAAATACTGCCAATATCTCATCTGTGCCTACCGCTCTAGCTTCCATCAGCAGAACCTGTAACGTTCTTCTGTTGTCTAAAGGTACGTTACTTAATTATATATTAAACATATGACCAATTCAGAACAGTAGAAAAATAGCAGAAATAAAAGTGCAGGAGATAAGACCAGTTAATATATAAGCTTTAGAGAAGTATGTTTTTGTTTGTACCTCAAGCAAAACAACTGCTTATAAGCATAATCTGCAAGGTATTAAACTGAAAGATGGAATAAAGCCCTGATCTCTGCTACTTATACACGGTACTCAGCTAAAGTCCAATCAAAATCATGAGCAACCAGCCGAGTATCCCTACAATTTCTCTGCCAATATATCACTCCTGAGACGTTTACAGCCACCGCAGTAGTGAACTACAAGCTTTTCTCCTGTACCAAGGCTCCTGAAAACTCAGGGCTGCTAACATACTTCACAAGATGTTCAGTGAAGACAGATAGGAAAAGCAGCATGGCTCTGCTGACAGTAAAGCTGAAGGATTTCAAATAAAGATTGCAGTTTGTATCCTATGCCCGGAAACTAGATAGGGAAGTTAAGCAAAGCTAGATTTGCTCACTCATGGTTATGAAGCCTCATGCATTCATTTTTAAGGGAAATATTTGCCAGCACTTACAACATCTATTGGTTTGTATTACTAGCAGCAAAACTTCAACAAGAATGCTAGTAGGAATAACGTAAAACCACTCCAGACATAAAGCGTTAGAACAACACTGTTTCTCAAGGTTATCCACTTCTTCCCATTGACAAGCTGTTTAATCTTTACAGGAAGAGTGTCTTCAGCAAGCAAATATTTTCCTAGAGCACAAGTTTCTATGCGCCACGTAACCAGCTCTCTAAAACTCTGCAGCTTCATAGATAGAACAGAGAAAGCAATATGCAACAACCTGGGAGAAAGACAACATGGGAAGAACAGTCTACACACAGTCTACACAAAGAGCATATATTACTTCAAGGAAACAGCTCAGTCAGTCAAATGAAGGGATGAATTTCATAGGTCTCCTTTAGCTCTTCAGGACAGACAGACAGACAGACCTGAATTAGCCATATTTGCTATGCCCTGTTGGCTATGAAAGAAGTGCTGTTAAGAAAGCTTCAAAAAAGCAGAGACCTCCCTTCAGAAAAAATGAAGCTTCTGAGAACAACTCATCCAAACAGCAACAGCAACTGTATTTGTTTTAAGCTGTAAAACCTTACCACTACCCACTACTGCTTTGGGAAAAATTGGCCTTTCCCTGTCAGTCTTTCCAAACGTCAGCAGGTGAGCAAAGTATTCCTGAATTCTGGCCTGTTTCTCTTACCAAAAAAGCCTTTTATGCTTGATTGAAAATCACTATGAGCAACATTAAAGCTGGTTTACAGTGCAAGAAAGGAGGTGGGGGGGAAAACAATGGGAAGTATACCAGAACTCTCTAAAACAATCTGAGGATTGAATGACAGAGATTTCCTCATCAAGGCAGGAAGGGCAGAAAGCTGACAGAGGATAGGACAGATTGTTTGAAGCAGATAGGAACTTCAGAGCTCAGCTGTCACAGCCAAACCACTGCCAAGTGAAGTGTTAAGAAAGAGGAAAGAAACGTCCTATTCCAAAAGGATATCCCATTCAAATGGTCCAATTAGTCTTTCAAAAAGACAGTCTTAGTTGGGTTATCACATAAGCTGAAACTGAATAGTTTTGAATGAAGCTGGACTATTTGAAAAAATAGACTATTAAAATGTTATAAGATGAGAATTTAGTCTCTCACAATCCTATAGAAGCACTTTTTGCAGTGGTCAGACAATCTGAAGAAACACTGTACCTACAGTCACAAGAGACTTATGACCATACAAAGAATTCATTAATGGGGACTGAAAATTTTAGCCAAGATCAACATTCCCCATCGTAAGAAACAAACATGTTTTGTAAAACTTGTTTTAAGTTAAAGACTATAAACATATCAACTATAATCGAGACTTAATGTCTTTCCAGCTGGTTAAGCTTTAGTGAGACGTGAACATAAAATCAGAACACTGCAGTGTCCAAATAGCTTTACACTGAAGGGATCATCCAAGTACGAGTGAATACATATTAAATGGGAATCTTCAAACAATAAAGACAGAAGTCTTCATACCAGAGACAGAATGGCGTATATTTACATTAACTTTTGGTAACATCTTACCTTAGTTCATTCTCCTTATGAGCCTGTTTATCTGATCTTCCCTGTTACCAGCATCTCCACCTTCTACAAAGTGAATGGTTTTCTTCTTCATTCCACCCCGAGGAGAGGATAACTTGAAGGGCCATAGGAAGTTGTTCACAACTTTGAACTTCTTGCCAACAGTGTAAATTTCATGGATCACATCTTCCATGCAGATGATGCCATGCTTTCCTAAAATTCAGGAAAGTTATTTTCAAAAGAGCTAGTCAGTGTCAATGACACAAGCTAAAAATTATGAAGTTATTAGGATTACTGCCACGTTGATTCAATTTGATAAACTTGAGCAAGTCAGAAAGCAGCCACTTTGTCAAGTCAACATGACATACTTTTCCGATTAAAAAGGATTAGCTCTAGCTAATTCAATGCTATTTCCCTGTTACATTTGGCAAGGGGCATCAGTTTCAACTGTTTAGTACTGGGCCATAAGGAGCAAAAAAAACAAAACAAAAAAAAACATTCAGTGGAAAATGAATTCAGTGTTCTTTGCAAAAAAACTAGATTAAATACACTTGAATGCAGCTCAGTGAAATTAATTTAACTATTTATGTTACTTAATAAGCCAAAGAGCGTTTGTGCTTAATGCCTTTCCACAGTCTTTAGTGACGCGTTACATGAGTAAAGAGTTTGTGAAGTACAATTTTTAAAAAAGCAAGTAATTCAGATACAGACCTGCTAGCATTATGCTCGTACCTTTAGAATCTGACTATAACGCATTAAGCCAAGACAGAAGCAGAGATGACTAAAAATCACTATTATTCTCCAAAGACAAATAGCGATAATTGTCTAACTTAGCACTAATCATCCAGATGCAAGAAGCTTTGGGTTTTGTTTTGGTTTTTAAGTGAAGTGGTATTTACCAAGGCGCTTCTGAATCAGGGAATTATCAGTCAGAGCAATGCGCTGCTTGTTGATCTTGCCATAACCACGCTTGTAGATCAACTCATGCACAGACTTCAGATTGGGATAACTGAAACAAGAGTCATGTAAAAACAGGAATTACTAATCCTGCAGCTTACAATCCAAACAAACATCCCAAAGTCAAATTTCTGTAACAAATGATTCTGGCATTTCTCAAAGGTATATACGAAAGCACCATGGAAGCAAAGCTTACTTGTACCGAAATCCCAACAACATGGGTATGAAAGTGTAATCATATGTAGTAAACAACGTCTTTTGTTGCACTTAATCATGTTTTCAGTTCTAAGCAGGGAAAGTACCCAGAACATTAAAAAAAATCATTTTGAACACAAGGAAGACATGCAAATCTAGTGTAGCAAAGTGCAAGATGCAGTGAACACCTGCACCCTGATTTGATAAAACTATTTCACTCACCCCCAGGCAATGTAGGGTTCAACAATCCGCAACATGTTGATAGAAGCTTTGTTGAGTTTTACAAACGTGCCGTTAAAAATCTGACGCAGGCGAAGAAGCTGCAATACCTTACGGACCTTGGGGCTAACACCATTGGTACTAGAAAGCACAGAGAGCCTCTTTTAATTGTCTACATCCCAGAATACACTAAAGTATCATCAAAGCACTAACAGATTAAAAAAGCAATACCGTTCTCATCTTAAATGCATCGCCATCCTATGAATTACAGGAAAACAGTTTAGTAAGTTATTATGTACTATCACTACGTATTTCAGTAGTAAGCTTACGCCAGATCTAACTTAAAGAAAAGAATTTAAATAAGGAATCCACTGAAACAAATTATTTAGAACTAACTATCCTTGCGTCGTCCTGAACGTATTTCTTCCAACCACGTCTTCCCTTAGTTTCCTTGAAGACTTTCCTCGAACACACTTAACCAAGCACTCGAGGCAAACTTAGTAATGTTACTGTGTGTTGGTACATAATTTTATCAAGCTTAAGGTGAAACACAACAATTGCCTCACATATTTGCAGTTTTGTTTGTTTGTTTGTTTTTAACCAGTTATTCCTAAGGAAGACATGCCCAACATAGTAATTTTTACGTTTAATAATTAAATCATTCTCTGGCACATATCTGACAGTACTGGGCCCAGCATTAACACATTCATCAATGGCCTGGATGAAGGCACAGAGTTGCTGAGGGTGACTCCCAGGGCCTTCTCTGCGGAGCTGCTTTCCTCAGCCTTTACTGGTGCCTGCGGTTATTCCTCCCCAGGTGCAGGACCCTGCCCTTGCCTTTGTTGAATTTCAGGAGGTTCCTCTCCGCCCATCTCTCCAGCCTGTCCAGGTCCCTCTGAATGGCAGCACAGCCTTCTGGTGTGCCAGCCACTCCTCCCAGTTTAGTATCATCAGCAAACTTGCTGATGTAAGCCCTTAAAGCAGACAAATAAAAGCAAGTGTTTCCATCCATATGAAGTCTTACCCTCTTATCCTGATCACAAAGGCCAGCTTTGGTTCAGCTGGTACGTAGTAATTTCCAGCTTTTCGGGCCATCCTGGCCATACGGATCTCCTGTCTATACATGTGCCTGTATTCCTTGTGGTAAGCTTTGGCTCTTGCATAGATGAGTTTCCTTTGTGCCTTACGAAGCTGAAATTAGTGGAAAGTTACTTAAGATTACATAATGCCTTTTAACACAAGAAAGTTAGCTTCAAATAGCGTAGCATCCTCCCCACAAATAACACACAGTAAGGGAACATCTGCCCGTATGATGGGACTCAGAATGACTTTCAGTAATATTCTAGAGAAACAGGTCTCTACTGCACAGTAATTCTACCTTACATCAAACAGGGTATTTTCATACACCATGCTTACTCTCACAAAGGCTGCAACCTCCTGCCTTGTAACCAACTACCTTTATTTTTATAGACACCTGCACACATGGCATTCACTCTGCCCACAACTAGTTTGTTACGTGCTATTTGGATTTTCTTTTTTATTTGGTCCATGTTTTACACCAAAATGCTAAAGAAATACTCCAAAACAAACAAAACCCCAAACTTGCCAGACCTAAAACATTTCTCTACTACTTCATATCTGTAGTAGTGTTCCACTGACCTGCCTACAGAACAGATAATCAATGCATACAAAAAGACAAGAAATATTCACCTTCTTTTGAGCCAACAGCCTCTTCAGACGTTTGGCTTTTATAGCTGCATAAGCCTGCCGCTTTTTCAGGAGGCTTTCCGGAACGGAGGGCACCTTCTTTGCTCTAAGTTACAAGAAAAAGACTCTTTAAAACCTACTTTCTTCAGACCAAGTAGAAGTAACACATTACAAACACCACTGTAAGTAAGTCCTCAATATAAGGCATACGCAAGCTTCACTGTGTTGCCCTAGTTCATTATTGCATCTTCCTTGTACTCTCTCTATTGCCAGTTATTCAAGACCTTAATGCAACCTCCAAAGAGCATCTTTTAGGTAAAGACTGGGAAATTTGACCGACTGGCCATTGAGCTGCACACCAGAGTACATCACAGTGCAATTTCTGGGCACCTACAAAGGTTTATTTTCTCCAGAAAATACCAACTGTGCAGTTATCAAGTGACTAAAGTATTTAGTTACTTTCTAGCTTACAAGCAGAAAAGGTCTGTTTCAAACAAATATTTTTCAAAGCAATGAACAAACATTGCAACCAGTAGTTTAAGGGGAGCATCAGGCTGATAACAGTCTGATTATCAGAATGCGTGCATTTAATGTGACTGGATTCTGTAAGCAGCGTATACTACAGGATTTACAAAACCGGCATTCAGAAATAACTCGCGCTAACTTCCACACCACGTACACACCCAGCCACGGCTTTCCACTCAGGCCACGCACCGCTGCGCGCACCAGAGCGCGGACGCTACCCATCGCCCGCCTGCGAGGCCAGGAGGAACGGAGTCGCCCCGCGTCCCTCGCCCAGGGAGCAGCGCTCGGGCCCGGCTCTGCCTGCCCAGCTCTCCTCCCTACCCG